TTCGGAGAGGCGTGGACCTGGGGGGCCAAAGCGTGAGCCTCTATCGCCACCGCTTCCGCTCGGTGAAGTCTCTGCCGGAGCCCAAGTTGAGGTGTCGATCTTGTGAATCTTCGTGGCTCCCGGCGAATCGTCCGCTTAGCTTTTTAGATCTTTTTTTAGTTGGTCTAGTGGTTGGGTTTCCAAATTCAACCCTCTAACATTTAATTAGTCACTTTTAGCAGGGGATCAGTTTGCCAAGTAGTGATGACATGCTGACACGCTGTTGCCCTTGGTGTGACCGACAGAGTGTGCAGGACAACGGGTTGCAGCTTCTTGTCTTTGTCGTTTTTTCTATGAATTTGGGCAGTCAGTGAAATTCAAGCACATCTTTCAGAACCGTGTAATGTGTTGGGCATGTGGGATCGTTTGTTTCCTTGTCATTGAGCTTACTAAGCAGTACAAGCCTTCAAGCTCTAGTCATTGCACCGTGGCAACGCGCCCCGGTGTGTCTGTAGCACGGTGGCTCGGTGGCACGGTGGGATGGTATTTGGCGGTTAAGACTTTTCATGGTCCCGTGACGGGAAGATTCTATATCGCTCTGTCGGAACTTGTCCACACAGTGAATAAGGGGTCAGGGGTTGGAGGCCTTGCGCAAGTGGTTCAGGGCATTGCCTGCCAAAGACCCCCTCCGATTTCGGGGAAATCAATGACTCCTCCAGCACATTGTTTTTGCACCCTTTGGAATGGAGACGAGTGGAAAGGGGAGTGTTCTTGCTTCCCGAGTTCCCATTGCTATCGCACACCCCTTTAGCTGTTCAGGGGTCATGTTTTTTTCAATGATCAAACAACGACTCCAACTTGTTTTAACACATGAGTTTCCTAAAATGAGAGACCCAGAGACCCATATTTTGTCTAGTCGTAGCGCACCAAAAGGAAACCAACCAGTCTTTTCTCTCGTATTGAACCAAATTTGAAATACACTGCCAGGACAAAAGTTGCGCGCCGTGGGTTTCCTCAGAGAACGCAACCTTCTCGCCCTAGAATCCTGCACGCTGTTGGCCACACTCTGAAGCCTTTAAAGTATGTATTCTTGCTGTATTTTTGAAAGAGGGTGAGAATTGACGACTGCACGCCTGTCATACGAAGCAGAGTTGGAAATTGGATCCGCGGGCAACCCACGCTCTGCGCTGCTTTGCAGAAACAAGTCAAACTTTTGGCCTTCAGAACTTGGCGGCTCCCAGCCAGTCGGTTCCTTTGCCTTTTAGCATTGAGTTGGTTTCGCGGTTGGGTTTCCGAATTTAGCCCACAAGTTAGTCACTTCTGGCAGCGGATCAGTTTGGACCGGCCAGAGAAGTATCTGCCAATCGGCTTTCCCGCTCAGGTCAAATGTCTCGAAGGCTTCCTCCACTTGGCGCGGCGCCCAAAGTGGACCGTGGTCGCATCCCGCACGGACGGCCAGTACAAGATCAACCAGCCATCAATGGAGGTGGCAGGACATTTTGGGACAGCAGCAGACATAGTGGCAACATATGGAGGCCTGCAATCAGTCACGCCAGGCCGCTTTGTACAGAAGATTGCTGTCAACGGCTAGTTGCAGTGGTGACTTGGCTTCGCTTTCCTTGAGCCAGCGGGCCAAACTACGAATCGTTTATGCCAAAGGCCTCGGCCTGCGATGGGGGTCAGTGCCACAAGTTAGCTCCATTCGGGCACTGGAGAGGTGTAACGTGTCATGTGTAACAGGTGCTTGGTGGATTGCGTTCTCCGGAAATATCACTTTGATCCAGCCTCGATGGCTTGTCACCGTGCCCACAGTTCAACATGCGCCTACGCTATTTGGACCGTTGGAAAGTCCGAAGATTCACAGCGCGAAAGCTGAGGTCCTCCTTCTCCGACAAGACGACACCGGACTCCTCCGGCAGCAGGCTCCGATACTCCGGTCTAGGCGCGGATGAGAGCGGGGATTGGCCCTCGGGGGGCGGAAAAATGCCCGAAACGTGCTGGTTGGAATGGTTCTTGCTTGACGCTTGCGGAAAGCTGGCCTGGAAGTTTGTAGACAGGCTCTTGAGCATTTTTGGTTGGTTGCTACCAGGTACTGCGGTACATGGGGAGTTGAAGCAGTCTCATTCGTGTTCTTCTCTTCACATTTTGCAGAACATGACTTCCCAAGTGCCGGCGAAAAGGGGTTGTCAGCAGCATGTCGCCGGCCTTGCAGACCAGTCGGCGTCTCCTGCGGACAATCCCCGGCGCATGGGCAAGATGAGGCGGAGCATTCGTCGCGATCAGAACGAACACGTGCCTGTGGTGTGTCCAAGTCGAGAACTCATTGCTCAGGGGAAGTGGTCTTAGTTTCATTGGCCCTTTGCGCTTGTTTTGGGGACAGATCGCGATTGCAAGAAGGCCTCCTGCTTGATCGAAGCATCCGGCCACTGTCGTAGCACCGGCGAGTCTCACCGAGCCGACCTTTGGTATTCACGAAAATGAGGCTGAGCAAGTCTGACTGATCAAGTGTAGGGACACGCAATCAGTCACAGGAGGGGTAGACACTAGACACCACTAGGAATTGTTGCCAACAGCCAAAGGAGTCTTTTTCTTCAAAGCTCAAAGCAGAGGCATTAGGACACAGTCGCTTGGCTTGGCCAAGTTTTATGTCAATGAACTGATGCCAAAGGGGGTGAATTGGCCACCCCTGAGAGCGAATTCCACGAAGTGCCCCTCCAAGCCTCCAGGTCTATGGACTCATTGTACAACTCCGACGAGGATCAGAGGCGCTGAGTTCTTCGCCCGCTTCGCCGCGAGAGTGTGGCGGAGAGGTTTAAACGGGGCCGTTTTTTCTTTTTTTGTTCCGTTTTACATTCAGGGTTTTGGTTGAAGTGCCAGTCAAAAGTGGCGGTCACTCTTGATGTCTTGATGGGCATGGTCCAGTCCTGTGCGCAAGACGGCGGGTGGTGCATCGGTTGTGCACGCGAGAATCTGGCTCGGTTGTGCACGCGAGGCCCGGCTCAGTTGTGCACGCAGACTTGTTTACCTTGGGAATAGCCACGTGAAATGCAGCTATTTAGACAGACGTCATGGAGTCTCGGACAAAGTGTAGCTTGCGGCCCCTTCGTTTTGGGTTTCTTTCAAGATAGGATGGTATAACACTATTTCACCAAGTGTCTTTTGTGTATGAACCTCATGTAAACCATTGCTACATTGACTTAAGGTTTACCTGATTCGTCCTGCTGATATAGCCAGATCTTTTTATCCGCAAGCTAGGATGGTATAACACTATTTCACCCAGTGTTTTGTGTGTATGACCCTCATGTAAGCCATCCCATCCACCCACCCCATCTCTTGTGTGCGTTCCTTTCTGGACCCCACCCACCCCACCCACCCACCCCCCCCACCCACCCCACCCACCCCTTCTGATGCCACCACTTCCATCCACCTACCCCATCTCTTGTGATGCCACCCCATCTCTTGTGTGCGTTCCTTTCTGGACCCGCCCACCCCACCCACCCCACCCACCCACCCAGCCACCCACCCACCCACCCACCCACCCCTTCTGATGCCACCAATTCCATGCATCTAGAGCTCTGTGTGCGCAACTGAGCCAAATCTGTGTGCGTAACTGAGCCAGAACTCAGGGGGTTTTGTGTGCGCAACTGATCCAAATCTGTGTGCGCAACTGATCCCCCGCCCCTGGAAGACGGCAATGGGTGAACTCAGGAAGAGTGAAATGAGACATTGAAATATTGAAACCATGTCACTGGGCAGGGTGTTACTTGTCACTTGGTTGTGGCCAGGCTGTCAACGGAGGCGGGTTGGGAGCGACAGAGCCCTATTCCGCACCCCGCTCCAGCCGTCCGGTTCCTTAGCTTTTGAGCTTCTTGGTTTAGTGGTCGGGTTTCCATTCAGCCCTCCAAAAGTAAGACTGTGGGCAGGAGATCGGCCAAGGGGGAGGGCAGGGCGATACTAACGAATTCCAAGGTTGCCCAGCCATTCAACGATCAGTGGGCAATGCGTCCCAGCAGGTTCAGGTGCAAGATCTGATCCTTTTCCGTGAAGGGGCAGCCAAAAGGCCATGGCCTTGGGCCAGTCGCTAGCAACCGAAGCTGCTCTGCTCCAGGCCCTGTCGCCCGCGGACCTTTGCCCAAATGCCTGTGAACCGTAGCTGTTGTCGACTATGCAGCATGTGCCACACAACAAAAGTCTCCTTGATGGCTGAAAGAGAAGCTAGTTACCCGATCGTTCAATTGCAGTGAAGCACTTCTGCACTTCTTGGGAGAATCTAAGACCACATTTGTGGCCCTGACAACCTGACAACCACAGGCACTCTTCGCTTCTCTCGGGGGGTGAACCTTTGCACGGCCATGGCCGGCGCATGTCCCTGAGCTCCGCGCTGCTGGCCCAGATGAGCTCGTCAAAGTCGCATGGCCAGAGCTTTGCTTTTTTGCTCTCGGGGCCTCTCGGATGTTTGGCTTGTTCCATACTACCGCACTTTTGCCCTTGACGTTGAAAAGGGGACGCTGAAAGGGTTTAGGGCCCTCGCGACTCTTGGCAGTCTTCGCCGTTCGTTTCATTTTTCCGCCTGGCCGATGCTCTGATCAAGGACATGGCGGCAGTCAGAGCTGGTGCTGCACTGGAGCCGTGCGGGTGCATTATGGGGTTGGGATTCGAAACTTTTGCAAGATCGAGCCAAGCCGGATACGCTCCAGAAAGTGCAGGACATGTTTTTTCTTGACAAGCAACCTCCGTGGCCCTCTCCCGCATGTGCGCATCAATCTGATCCAACGCTTAGTTTGGCCTTTGAGAGAACCAGATTTCTTTGACAACACCTTGTTCTTCCCAATGAAGCAAGTGCAGTGTCCATGCCAAAAGCAAGCATCGGATGATGTTGGGACGGATATTGCGATTCCTATCTCCGGAATATTGCAGGGGTGAACCTCTTCATAGGATCGCTCCGGTGCCAAGGGCAGCTGTTGGCGATCTGGGTCGCCTTCTTCGTCACGGCGGGGCTGACGTACCATGCCCCGCCAGTCATGCTGCCGGCCATCATGAAGGAGTTTGGCACTGACCAGTACGGACGCATGGACAAAAGAAAAGCCCGGGTCCGTGAAGGAACTAAAAGGACAAACGGGGCTCAGGATTGTACCAGGTTCTCAATAGACTGCATGGCGCATCGGCATTTCCTCTGCCTATTTTATAGCGAACTCACCTGGGAGTATAACGAGCTCACCATGATAAGGGTCCTTTACTTGAGGATCTCTTAACTCAGCTTTTGGAGTTTTAGCAATATTTGCAGATATCTTGTCGTGCAGCATCCACCGGATTGTTGTCTCGCGTGCTGTATTGAGCTGCACGCCTCGGATCCACTGGGAGTGTTTTTGGGAGCTCAAGTGGATCTGGTGCCTCCCCAGCGCTGAATGGGTCAGCAGCATCGCGTCTTTTGACCCCTTACGAGAAACCAAGGGCTTGCATTTTGAGAAATATGAGTCATTTGAGCGTGTCCCAAGAAGTAGACGCTTCCAGGTGCTCCCTTCCAATCCACACCATTCCACACCCAGGCGTGGCATGGCTGCCAGCCATCTTCCAGCTCTGCAAGGGCATCTTCACCCTCCCCGGTGGCTTCGCCCTGCACCGGTTCGGGTGCCGCGCCTGCTTGCGTGCAGGCGCTCGGGGCATCTGGTTTGGCTTCTTCCCATGCCTGATGTCAGATGGGCTTGGGGGGGGGAACCTAGATCTTTACCCGGACCTGGCGTGAGCAGATTCCACACTCTGATCCAAATGACTTTTTGGACGTTCATTTAGGATTGTTTTTCTTCATATCTTGGGACTTCTTGGGTCGTACATGTCGTTGTTGGGTGCCTAGCTTTCGTTTGCTTGATTGCTTTCTTGCGTTTTACCCCAAGTAGTTGACGCCGCAGCAGACCGGGAAACATGGGGCTTGTCACGGGGCATGTTGAGGTGGGTCATGGGCAACTATCGTTGCCGAGGTTTGGTCTTTGTCGGGCCGTTGCCGAACTTGGATGCACAAACACTGGCCGGATAAGTGACGCAGCGATAGGCACTGCAAGATGGTCCGGATTACAAGTGCGGTGTTTGGACCTTTCGGGTCTTGGAGGTCTTGTTGCCAAGCGGCCACCCTCTTACAAAAGCATTTCAGCCTCTCAAAGAGCCGCTGTCTCAGTTTCGTTTTGCATGTGTAAATCCCGCACTAGCGGTACTGACCGGGGCACGCCACGGCTGGCCACTGTTCAGAGCATGTTCTCACATGCACGAAGCGCCAAAAGCCAAACGATGCCACTGGACAGGCTGCTTGGTCATTCTGGCCGCCTCCGTGCTGTACCCGCTGGCGCCAAGTCTCTGGTGGCTGGGCACTTTGCACGGGATCTACGGCTCGGCCTACGATCTGGTGGGCATCGGCCCTGCCATCGTCTTCGTGACGAGACTCGCCCAAGTCATCAATGCCCTGTGTCCCCGCATGGTGATTTTCAAAAGCGGGGGTCAGGAAGGTCAAGAAGGTGCTGTGAAGGAAGAGGTACCGGGCATTGAGATCCGACTAGCCAGCCAGGCAATCATGCAAATGTTTTCTCAGCTCAACGACTTGATTCTTGGCTTGGCATATGGAGCCTGACTTGATTGGGTGCATTTTTCCCGAGGACCTGGTTCGAGGAGCGGCCTGGTTTGGCCATCGGCATGCTGACCACCGCCTTCAGCGTGTCCGGGGTCCTCTTCCCCCCGTTGCTGGCGCGCCTCACCGCACACCACGGCTGGCGACGCGCCTCGCTGCTCAGCCCCGTGCTGACAGCGCTGGTGGTGCTGCCCATCTGAGCCATGGCAAGTGACACCGGGCGTGTTTGCCTATTTGTGTGGATGGAGGGTCCAGGGGTTCTTTGCAGCTTTGCGCGACAGAACGTCTGGCAGTCAATACTGAAAGCTCTCATTTACTGACGCCCGGCCTTTGATCTTTCCAAAATTCTGATGGAACTGAACTTGTCCGATTCCCGAGGCTTCCGAATCATTCAGGATGGCCCCGTGCAACAGCGGCGGCAGCAGCAGGTGGTTCAAACCGACCCGGAGGCGGACGGCGATGAAACTGCCTCCGCCTCCGCCTCTGCCGCCTCGGGCGGTGAAGGCCTCAACTTTCGCCGGAGCCTCGGCCTGGGCGCGGTGTGGCACTTGGCCTTCCTGTCGCTGTACCAGCTCTACATCGTCATCGCCCTGAGCCTGGGCACACTTCAGTCACTGGAGGTCAGACGGACCCTTTTCAATTTGTGACAGTGGTACTTTGAAATGAGCTGTCTCGACCGCTGGTAGACTGGCGGTCTAGACAGTTGCGGGGAGCATGTTTGCCACAGGCACTCCACCACATTCCCCTGCTGATTGGCTTCCTGGCAAATTTCGCCTCTGATTGACAAACGATCCTGTTTCTTCACCGTGAGGCAGTCTCATGAAAACGTATCATTTGTAAAGCAACACACACCCACACACACACACCCACACATCAGTCGTTACAAATGGTTGTTGGAAGTCTGCAGGAACCTCGCAGCGAACGGGTCAGTTTGAGCCGAGGATCAATACCCTGGTTCTGTATCTGAAGACTGACGTGGGAATGGCCTTGGAGCTTTGCGGTCTCTACTCGTCCATCGTCTTTCAGGCGGCCAGACCCATTTCACGCGTCAGATGAGTCGGCCAGCATATGGAACCATATGGAACCATGGTTTGAACCCTTGCTTGGTTATCCTCCCTCCAACAATCATGGAAGCTGACAGGAGGCTGTTGGAAGACTAGTCTTTTTTTTCCTTTTTCTGGGAACCCCTCTGTCCACTTCCATGATTCTTGGAAAGAGGGCACATGTAACTGAGAGAACTGCCAAGGCCTCCATCGTGGGGAAGCTGCTGATGGGCCTGGCCCTGGACGTGCCGCGGCTGTCAGCGCCTGCAGGGCTGCTGGGCTGCCTGGTGCTGCTGGCAGGCGCCCGGGCGAGCATCCGTCTGCATAAAACGAGCATGGCAAAGATTTGCCGAACAGGCAACCCATTTTGGGGTTCCTGCACCCTACTTTTCACTCACACCCAAATGGCAGGTACGCTGCGGTGTGACGGGGTATCGCCTCTGATTGTGGGAGACTTGTGTAGGAACCAACAAAGGAAATCGGATTGGCCAACTTGTACTCCAACGCTTTGAGTTGTTTCTGGGTGTTTCACTCAAGTGCTCCAGCAAGTGGTTTTTACCACAACATCTCGGCCCTTTTTTTTCCGGTTTGTAGCAACGCGATCTGTTTGGGCCACCTGTCTCGGAGGTCTCGGACTGCACGCGTTGCGCCGTTGCGCCGTGCCACGCTGACAACTGGTCATGAGCGGGGTAAAAGAGCAAACTTCGTCACGCAACCAAGTTCTGGCAAATCACTGATTCAAAACTGGCAAGCACTTCAGTTGAAGATCCCTTGGCCTTGCGGTCAGTGGAAATTGGGACTCGGTGTTTGGCAGCCCTCAGCAAGCATGTGGATTTAGGTGCCATCCAGTTCGAGACATCCACCAAAAAGCCGCAGAGCAAGACCATTGCGCAATGTCGAGCTGCATTTTGCGCGAACCGACGGAAACCAACAGTGCCGTTGAAGGCACACCCCATACAGGAAAAGGAACCCCCTCCACAGTCTTGGCTTTTCGTGCCAATGCGTGTAATGAAATTGGATCGTTCGCTTTATATTGAGATGGCCTGCATAACGGGTGTGTCAATTTTTGAGGGACCCCCCCCCCCTCCCCCCCAAATGGTGGGTTTTTCTTTCGTTTCCGAATGCCCAACCAAGGGGTACCAACTCAAAAAAATAGAACGGGCGAGCCCACAGAAAACATCCACGGACCCCCGCAAGGCACTCTTCTGCCTCTGGACCTCTCCGGTGGGCTCACCGACAGCCACGGCCAGCTGCTGGCATTTGCGGTGGTCTATGGCCTGGGCTTCGGGGGCTGCCGCTTGGGCGAATTTGTTTTCCGCCAAGTGGCTGCCAGGATTTCTTAGTGGCTGGGGCCAGGATATTTTGTGGATATCTTCGGATTTTTGTTTCAAAGGGCAACATGTTCCGTTTGTCTTAGAGCGCGACAGGCTACTCGATGGTCTGCGCGAAGCCGGCCAAGATGTTCGGCAGGAGAGGGGTTAGAATGTCTCCGGGGTGGGGGAGAAAGGACGTGCTTGCAACCGCATTTTTCCCGGGTCCCACAATACAATGATTCTCTTAGCACGTTCCTTTGAAAGGTGGCCGTTTCCAACCCGTCCGTGCCGTTTTTTTTCCTTTTTTTTTCTTCTTCTGTTGTTGTTTTTAATATTCTTGCTCAGGATGTCCGACTTCGGGAGGCTCCAGGGCTTCTTGATGCTCTTCCAGGCTCGCCCAAGTGGGTTTAGGGACGAACCTGGGATCGGGTTTTCCCAGGTGATCGGAGGCTTCCTGGGCACGCTGGTCACCGGCAAGCTGCGGGCGGTCTACGGCAACTACACCCTGTCCTTCTACGTTTTTCGGCAAGCTGTAAATGCGTGTTCAGGGGGGATGGGTCGAAATGGGATTGACCCCCTTACTTTTGAGACAAAGCGGCGGTTTACAGAAAGAAGGTCTCGGGGTGAAGAAGTCTGCTACCCGCCGCAGGAGGTTCAAAATATTTTTGTTTCTGTCATCACCCTTTTGAAACTAAGTAACTTTTCAGACAGGACATGCCACAGTTGCAGCATTTGGAACGCACAGTGAAATATCGTGTTTCCTTGTGAGGCATTTGTTTCAAGATCCTTGCTCTCTTTTTGCTTAGCGTGGGACGTGTCCTTAACTTGCGAGCAACGCATCAGGTGAGGCCCGTTACAACCGGTGAGGGCAGATCAAGCACACGAAGCCTTAAGGATCCGGGATTGCTGGGTGCCTTGCTGGATTGCATCAAACGAGTCACCCCCCACTTTTACTTTTGGAGGTCTTCATTGCCATGGCGGTGCTGTGCTGCTGCCACTATGTGGCCCTGGAGTGCAGTGGAAAGCGTCTCCACACGTGTCGTGAGCGCTCTGAAACGGTCGGCCTGCCAGACGAATGCGGCACCCGGCGATAGCGCACACCAGGCCGAAGTGCCACGTTCGCGGAATGTGAAAACAAAGGCTGCGCAGGCGACATTTGATTTGGCGAGATCCAGGCTGTCCATTTGCAGTACTCGCGCCCAGTTGTTCAGACTAATTATGGAAAAAATAGCTGATCGCCGACTCTTGGCCCGTCAAGACTCATCTCAACCACCGTGCAGCTGTTTCCGATCTCTCCGAGTCTTACTTTCCCAGATTCCTGACTTTGCCCTCTTTGACAAGATCATTCAAATGAGAGACCGTTCGGGCTTTTGGAAAGATAGAAAACAGTTATGGGGACCCAGTTGGTGCATTGGGACGGAGAGCAGTCTTGCAGTGTCTGAGTTCCTGAGTTCCTGGGACATGACATACTTTTTGGGATTGGATCATTTTGGTGGCAAAACAACAGCAAGTTTCTACACTTCTTTCGGCCAACCCACTCGTTCGGAAGTGAGACGTTGTGTGTGTGTGTGTCTCCATTTCTCCAACGTGTTTCGCCAGGAAGACGGCAAGCGGCACCGCGACAGCCGCGACAGCCGGGAGCGCCAGCCGGGAGCCCTGGTGCCAGCGGCCAGCCTGGCCAGCGGGAATTCCGGTTCCGAGTGTCTTGGTGGTTCCCAGCCATCTGCTTAGTGTTTCTTTTTTTGGGCACTATTAGACTATTTTTGGTCTCCAGTGAGGATGTTCCCAACCATCCGGTTCTGAAGCTTTTTAGATTTTTGTTTCTTATTTTTTCTCCGGCTAGTTTAATGGTTTGGTTTCCGAGTTTAAGTCACTTTTAGCAGGGAATCAGTTTGGAGAGCCGGATTACCTTAAATCCAGTGATTCATTCCCTCCAAAGGGAGCACTCCTGGGGCTTAAGTCTATCCTGGGGCAGTCATAAAGTGGAGCCCTGATTCCAAATATTGATCTTGAGTCAGGCTCACCATGTGCGGACGGCCACCTTGTTCAAATCAGCAAAGCAAAGCCATTGCCAACCCGAATCCCGGGCTTTTTTTCCAGGATTGGATTTGGCTTTGGAAAGATTACGAAGAGCGCTGCATATCAGGATGACCCAACAATAGACGCGCCTCGGTAACGGCAGCTGATTGGGCCGCCCCCGTAAGACGCTCCAGCAACTTTGATAAGAGCGGCCCTCTTCATGATACTTTTCTTGTTCAAGCCGAAGTCCTTTGTCTCAACCACTTGGCAGTCGCAAGGTCTGAATGTCAATTGGACCTGCACAAGCGCCACATGCTTAACGCCAGGGTTGTCTGGAGGTAATCTTGATGTCGTTGATAAGCCAAAGGACGTTGGTTTTGGCGAAATGGATCCCCGAGCTCTTGGCCTTGCACGTTCGGAGCCCTGAGGCCTTTGAACAAGTCGAGATCCTTCAGCTTCGTGGATGAGGCTGCATGGGGGGTGAGATTGAGTCGAGGGAGATGGTTGAGACTTTCAGCTTATGGAGGGTAAGAACCTTGGTCGCAGTTGGATCCGCTTGGAGTTTGGTTTCTTTAGTTTCATGAACAAAAGGAGATGGAACTAAAAGAACAACCATCTCCCTAGACTTTTAGTTTTTGTATGTTCGGCTTCGTGTATTGTTTAGCCCCAGAACCGTCAAGGGGTCCCCTGTTTTGACACAAAACCTGGGTCGAGTCTGATTCTAGCACTATAAGCTACAGGTTTGATCGAGTTTGAAGGAATCATTGAATCCCCTCACCACCTTTTGCAGTGGGGAGGGGTTTTCCACGATTTCAGATAGTACAATCTTCAGGCACGCAGTTTGAAGCCACTTCGACAGGGGCTCGACCAGAACCAGGGCAAGGGCAAGAGCGACCCGAAGATTGTGGCCGGATGCCAAGGGCAGATGTCTGGTGCGCAAGGGAATCTTTGTTTGGGGTCTCAGGGTTCTTTCTTCCCCGTGAAAGCGATTTTTCCAATGAGGTGACAGGGTACCCTCTCCAACAGCAAGGCCATGTTCTTAAAAAGGCCTGTCCAAGTTGCTTAGTTTCGATCTCAAGCGCCGAAGACCCCAGAAGTATCCAAGGTAGAGCTTTTGAGCGAGGTGTGTCTCAGTCCTGCGTTGCGCCTGCGTCCGCGACAGCAGTATGTTTTTTTTGAGGAGAGGCCGTCATGTCGATCAGGACTGTCCTAATCCCCCAGAAGAACAAGGGAATGAAGGAATACCGCATCCGGCTTTTGGGTGGGTGGCTGGGGCCGGGGGGGGGGGGTGACAGCGCCTGCAGATACATTTGATGGATTTTTGGCTTGCTTAGCTCCCTGAAATTGACACGGAATTTGGAAACGGCCTTCCTAAAAGGAGGTTCTTCCAACATGAGGGCAATTGAATTCCAAGTTGACTTTCAGGAGTGCTTTGCAGATTCTAGGCGCGCTGTCCTTTGCATCGCACTGGCCCAGGCCGAAGTATTCGCGACGGGTGGAGCTGGCATCACCACCATGCCATTAAAGGATCACGGCGCCTTGAAGGATCATGAGGCCGGATGGAGTTGAGTCGTGAATTGATCTGGAATTCCGCCTGCTTTTGGCTTATCGAACTTCAGAGGCTCGTTATCATATCGCACATCTTCCCTGCGTGCCACGGACAGTGTGAGCTCCAGGTCGCGCCAACAGGTCACGTGAGTGCAAGGAATGTACAGACACATTCGCACGAGCACACTCAGGTCACAGATGTATCATGCCTCATGCACATCAAAGTCTATGATCCGTCTTGGTGGACTTCGCCCCCACAAACCGACTTTTGTAAGCTATGGTACTTCAAGGATATTCCACCAGCGCAGCACGGACAATTCAATGTCACAACTTGTGACATTGCGCCCTCCTGACAGACATGATGCTTTCCTTTGCTCCTTTCATGCAGATGGTTTCAGCTGATTTCATTACTTCACTGTGCGGGAGGGGCAAGATGCTTGAGTGGAGATGCGAGTGTGAGCATGTCCACTGCTGACACATGGCCACCGTGGACGGTTGTGGCTTTCTCCGTCACGCAACCTGATCTGACGCCTCCTTTTTTGGGTGCCTCTTCGCTCCCATTCCAGATGGCTGGGTCCGGCTCATGCCAAACACAAATGCAAATTGCCTGACTTTCCTTAGCACAACACACTCCCAACCAGACACTCCCAACGCGGAAATTAGAAGCAAGCATTCAGACACAGCTCTTCAATTTGGAGCCACACCCGTAAAATAGAAGTGAACAATCAATTACCACATAAACCTCTAAATGAGTAACTAACTAGCTAACTAGCTAACAAACTAACTATCTAACTGACTGACTGACTAACTAACTAACTAGCTAGCTAGCTAACTATCTAACTAACTAAGAAGCTAGCTAGCTAGCTAACTATTTGACTAACCAACTAAAATGTACATGGACAACTGCATACGTATGTACATAAATGAACAAACAAATAACAAATCAATACGACATATATATATATATACACATTTGAAGCATGCGCGCCTTTGGGCACACCTTGGGCGTTCACTTCTAGTGGATCTTCGAAACTGTTGCTCCAGGATTTCCATAGTCAAGTGTACCCACTGAACGCCGGACCTGGGAGCCTGGGAGACAGTTGGTGACCAATCGACTCATGGCCGGTTTTTTCACCTCACGGCAAACCATTTTTCGCTTTTCTCAATTCTGACTCGAGCCACATCAAAGCCCGGGTAGATGGAGGTTGGTAAGGGACAGTCGCCAGAAACAGATGCGACCGCCTTTGTATTTCCTTACGTTTGGGTTGTCACTTGACCTCCAAAGGAATCAAGTGGCATTTCGGTTTCGGCGCAAGGACAAGGAGCACTCGCCGAGCACCACCCCTGCCCTCCCTGGCCTCGCCCTCCCCGCACCGAAGGGGCAGCCGCTCTCCTGATCGGCTGGTGGCGGGGAGGTTATGGAAGGGAAATGCCCCGGACCCACAGGAGTTCCCACCAAAGTTTTGATCAGGTTGTTTCCAACGCCAGCCATTTTTTTCGACGTTGGCAGGAAGCCAAAAGTAACCCAAGATGTGTTTAGAAGATTGCCGTGTTTTGACTCACAGCGGTGTTGGGAGTTCCTAAAGCCGGAAGGACAACAGTGTTTGTGCGTTAGTTAGTTAGTGGTTGCTTTAAGTTTGTTGGCTTTTTGTTTGTTTGTTTGTTTGTTTGCTGCATTGTGCGTGTAAAGGCCGGATGGCTGCGGCGTGCCGAAGGAACTGGCTCGCGGATACCATTTGGTGCAGATGTGGCGTTCTTGCTAGTAGAATTAGAGAGGAAGGACATGGCAAAGACATTCTACGAACGAGACACTTCGAGGGCAAAATCTGCTCCCCCAAAAGTCTCAGAGATCAACGCGACCGCGTCTGGCCGACACTCAGCAGCTCAGGCTCCGGAAGTCTCTGTCCTGGGGATCCACGGAGGAGGCGCGGAGTGAGTGACCGCAGTGGGGCTTTCAGAGAGGTGCCTCAAGCTTAGGTAATGCACAAGCACAGCCACAACAAGCACAGAGACGAACCCAGATCAAGCATCACTTTTTTCCCAGCTGAAAGCTAAGGTCTCCGCCCAGATAAGCTTCGGGGGTGGCTCAGGGGTGCTCCGGAGTCCGGTTCGGGGAAGGCTCCGGAGGTTGCGGGGGAGGTTCCGGGTGGTGTGGTGCAGGCCAGGTGTAAGGTTCAGGGAAGGTTCCGAGGTTCCAGTCTGGCGCAGGCCAGGTGTGAGGAAGGTTCCGGAGGTTCTGGTGCAGGCCAAGGCTTCGGAGGCTCTGGAGTGGTCTGGCGCAGGCCAGGTGTAAGGTTCAAGCAATGGTTCCCCAACAGCTGAAGGCGATGGGGTCTCAGCCTAGATAGGCTCGGGGTGGCGAGGAGCTGCTTTGAGGTCAGGTTCCACAGAGGGGTTGCGCGAGGCGGGCTGTTGGGAAACTTCACTTGAGCTTAGTGGTTCTAAGCATTTGGCAAAAGACACAGTTTTTTGCTACCATAGCGACCAAGGGTTGTGAAGATTTGTTGCCTAGCAGTGTATTTGTTGGTAACACGCGTGCGTTTCTATTTTAAGAGAACTGCGCTCCAAAACAGCTGTCTCAGGTGGCAATGGGACAAACAGAACCATGGGCTCTGTAGGATCCACGGGTGGAAGACAGCCAACCGCAAAGGGCACTGTGAACAACGGGTTCTCGCCGAGAATCCCACGCACAAGTTTGACGAGAGTCGGTGACAAGTGTCGGCGGGGAAGCGGGTCACAGGTTAGCACCCTGCTTGGTGACAGTTGATTGGCTCCCTTGATTCCTTTTTCAGTCAGAGTCCTTGAGCGCGCTTTTTTTTGAAGTTGGGCTCTTTTTTCCATGCGGGCGCGGGGGATGTTCATTGACATGTCCGTGTTTCAAGAAACTTGACAACCTTGCCATGATTCGGAGAGGCAAACGCAGGCAAATCTAGGGGTTGATTTGTTGAAACAAGGGTTATGTTAGAGATTTACCTGGTCGCAAGTTGTCTTCCTTTGATAGAACTGAAAGGGCCATTGCCTGATTTTTCATACATGCCACCCTTGCGATTCCGCTCCATTTGGAAAATCGGCCACCTAAGGTGGGATGAACAATGCCCATGCCGAGAGCAGCCCGGGCCCCATGCGTTTGCCACAGGGATCTTCTTTTTTTTGACCAAAGATGGGCTGGGGAACAAGGAAAGCGAGTTCATGAGTGATGTAGTGGACGCCTAGTGAGCTCGCAGCGGGCCATTGACCCAAATCTTTGATTCTTTGTGTGGCCCAGCTCTGGAAGCGAGGGGCACAGACTGGATCTCATGACTGCTGACGTTACTCAAATAGCTTTGTCTGAAGAATGGGAAGCCACTGGCGACTTGGTACTGGACATGCGAGAGGAAGTAAAACTTTGGGTGAGACGTTCCCAACTGTTGTCACGCTCCCATAGCTTGGTATAGACCGTCAGTCAAGGCGGTCAAGGCCAGAGAGTGGAGGTTGGTACAGAGACATCAATGCAAAGCAAGCGCAGATACTGGGTCAGTGTTAGCACCCGACCTGAACCGCTCTCGTGGTTTCGTCGCAGTCAATAATGCAGCAATATCACCAGCCCAATGTCCAGGCAAATCGGCGGAAGTGGAGGTTTGGCACATTCTTTCGATTTTGTTTAAGATGTTGGGTTCTTCCTTCTGCACCAGTTTGCCCTGGACTTTCGCAAACGTGTTCGGTATTTTGGAAGATACGCATGCGGCACCTTGTAAATGCCTCAAACAAAAGCAACCTGCCACGCCGGTGGAACCCGGGTTCCACTGTAAAGCCCCGTAAGGGATGACGTTAATTGTGTCAACTAAGGAGACGTTGCTATTTTTGATCGTCTCGCCTATTTTTGGGGGTGACTGATCAGGGAGGGCATGTGGAAAGCATCTGATCTATTCAGACATGGGAACGTGTGAATACTTTCCCTCATGGCCGCTTTTATGTTGATTTCTTTCATCAAGCCACACAGGTCTCTGAATCGTTGGTTTTCCTTGTCTTCGTGAGCCGTTTCACACGTCTGAAGCAATCCCGCCAGCTGGGCTCTCTCAGGCTCCCAAGGACTACTCGCGGCTCGCTTCCGCGCACGCTTTTTTTCCCCCTCAGCTCGGGCTCAAAGAAATCAGCCCGGGCAGTGAGCCTTCGAGATCGCGGCGCAAGAATTCAATGAAGGGGCAAACCCAAGGCCATAAAGCTGCATTCTGAAGAGATCCCGCTTCGGCCGCAAGTCTTGGCTCACCGCTCCCGGAGAGGGCAGATGGGACTCGGGCCCGCCAGCACAGATCCTGTCAGGTGTCGATGCAAGCGGAAGTTCCATTTTCTGTCTCGGTCCGTGCAAAAGTTTCATCCAGGGCGGGGGTGAATCCCCTGGAAGACATGTTTGCTGCGCCTGAAAGACGGGCAGCGGTCCCGGAGTCGGCCCTCGTCCAGCGTTTCACCGCGACCAGCAGAAGCCTGCTACGCCGCATGTAAAAATTGCCGTCTAGAGAAGGGGATTTCACTCTCCACCGGCATGGGATGTAACATATCGCTGACAACTCCGTTTGCTCCTTTGTACGTTGAAATTCTTGAAGCCAGCCCCAGGTTTCAGATTTCGGACATATCCCAAGTTCCCGAGTTGTCACCGGCGTATGTCAACGCGCGCGCCTGGCATCAGCTTATGCTCCAAGCGGGGAGTGGTGGCGATGGGCCAAGTGTTTTGTCGGAGCGCAGCCAACACCCTGAGGCAAAGCACACTCCATCTTAGGGATTGTTCCCAAATCTCTGAACCGAACTCCAGCCCAGGATTTATCAGACTTCAGTCTCTCGACCTGAAAACCGCTCCCGTACCACTAACCTTTGAGCCAGCCGCTTTCCAGAGCTTCTGCCATCGGAGCCATTGGCGTGCCCTCATGGCAAGCAAAAACCAGGAGCCCCGGTTCGGTACCATTGCGCCGCAACGATTGTGCAGACTCTCGGAGAATGTGAAGAGCATTTGGGGTGCACAGCGTTTTGCGTCAAGAGTGGGCAAGACTGCCATTGCATTTTCGGAAATATGCCTTTGCTAGAATCCGCTAAGTGCATTAGTCTCTTCTGCGACTTAACAAGTTGTCCAGAAAATTAGCACAACGCGATGATTGGACGGATTGGACGACTGCTGGTGATTGCGCAAATCGCGAGGCAATAGACTCATGCTGTCAGCCTGCTCCTGGCAGGAGCTACCCCTCACGGCCAGGCAGGCAAGTGCCGCCCTGGTTTGCTGTGAGCATTCTAGACGTTGGCCAGTCACAAACGGATTTGGGAGCATCTTCTATTCTCTCGCGCGAAGGGTTCTTCATAAAGGATCTTTGCCTCCCACATTTTGCAACATGCATTCGTCGACTCTTTAAATTCTTCTCCCAGGGTGGTGGGGCGGGAAAGGCGCCAGCGAAACGTGCCCCTCACAGGGATCATGGGCGTGCGGGTCGAAGCGCCTTCGCTGTGTTCCCGTGCGAGTTCGTGATGTGCTTGTGTGACCCTCTGCGCGGATCGTGGGTGTCAAAACGCTCTTGCTGTGGCGGCTTGAGAACTACACTTGCGCAGCTGGACCTTGAAAATCGCAACTTTTGAGTACGAAAATACACTCCCGCAGCCGGTGATGTTTTGGCTCGCAAAGTGCAATTTCGCAATTTGTTTTGTAATGAACATTGATGGCGGCCAACCGATGACGATGATGTTTACGATGATGAGGCTGAGGATGAGGCGATGATGATGATGATGATGATGATGATGATGATGATGATGATGATGGTGGTGGTGGTGGTGGTGATGGTGATGGTGGTGGTGGTAGTGGTGGTGGAGATGATGCCAATATCCATGATGGTGATGATAGCTATGATGATGAGAATGAGTATGTATGATGACGATGATGATGGGATGATGGATGATGGCGGTGTTGTTGTTGATGATGATGATGATGATGACCATGACAGTGACAGTAATATAAGTGCAAAAGTAGTATGCGAAGCGCATTCTCGCAGCTGCATATCAAAGATCGCAAGTTGTAAGTACGAGAGCAGAACGCGGAGTACACTTCTGCAGCTGGAGCTCGAAAATAGCAATTTTCAAACACAAAAGTAGAGGTACGCCAAAATAAACACCACACACACACAGCTGGAGCTCGAAAATCGTAGTCTTCAGTGCGGAAGTAGTATGAGAAGTATTCTCTTTGAGCTTTGGTCGGAAAAGCAAGATGCGTGTATCGAGTTACTGGCAGTGAGAAAGATGCACGCAACAGACTTGCGCAGGGATTATTGAGCGGAGCACTTGCGCACAGAAACTTGCGGAGAAACTTGCACCGAGTGCAAGCTGCACAGAGAAACGTGCAGAGTGCAACTTGCGCAGAGAAACTTGCGCAGAGGAGTTGCATGAGGAAGCCTCACCGTGGTCATGCCAGCACATCGACTAGGTAGTTTGGTCTATGCTTTCGGGCCACCGGTCGTTTAGTTTGGAAGCCATTCCTGCAGCTCAACCTGCCACATCAGGAAAACGAGGTAGATAGTGCTGGAAAGCGCGAGGGTGTGTCAAATGTTTAGTGCTCCCTCGCGAAAAGTGCGCATAATCTTTTAAGACATTCTGCTTGAGAACAGGTCGGCCTGAACATGCGCATTGCATAAATAAAGCAACGCACCTCGAGAGGGCCAATAAATAGCAACTCAACAATCAAGACTACGGCCCCAAACCAGGCCCTCTGCTTTTGGTTTGTCTTTATGATTGTTTAGTTTTTTGGATTGTTTTGCATGTTCTGGAAAGGTGTAAAATGTAAAGCACCTCGAGAACCAAAGCAACAAAAGTCAAATGCACACAATAAGAAACCAAGACTCTGTTAGCTGTCCTGACTTAGGCGGCATAAAGCCAAGACTCTGTTAGCTGTCCTGACTTGGGGGGCATAGTCTTGTGTTTTTATTTTGTGCTTTGGTTTTCTCGAGTTTTTTGCATTTGTTTGTTTCGTTTCCGGCCTGTGTGCAAGAGCTTCCGTGTGTTCAAATCCAAGCCCTAGAAAAAGTGAGCTAGAGATGGTATTCCTCTGACAGGATTTTGTCCTTTTCAAATTCGGGAATTGATACAATTTTAGGCAAAAGACATAAGGAGAAACAAACTTAGTTTCCACAACTGTTGAATACTTCATGATTAAATGTTGACTGATTTGTAAAGACAATTCTATTGGAAAGGAACTCCTGTGTAACATTTAGTTTGACATAGTTTTTTTTTGGATTCTACTTTAGAATGCAAGTTATGATTGGACTCTTTCCTTTCAATACTATGTATCATCTCAGCCAAGAATTGAGTAGACAATTTAGAGTTCCCAAAGTCGTTTTTTCCCCTATCCCCAGCACTGCCATGGTCAGAAAACATCGTAACACAGTGTTTTGTAGCTTTTTCCGTACTCAATTCAACTAGAATTTGAACAGGATTTGCACGGGACTCAATAAGGAAATGCTTGTTCCGAAGCTTGCTGGACAGTATACCTCAAAGGTGGAATTTAGACATAACTCCTTGCCCAATAGAACTTTACATTTTGATTCGAGTTGAAACAAAATTTGACAGGGAAGTGCAATCCAATCACAATTTCCATTTCAAAGACTTTGAATATAAATTCGAATTCTTTTTTTTGAACATTCAATTTACAAAGAGGTTTCCAATATAAGTCCTTTACAAATCATTAAACATTCAAACGCACATTATTCAAGCAGAGTTCAACTCGAATTTCCATTCAACATGTGAAACAATCGCAAGCTCACAGCGTCCTGCCCTCTTAGGTTTTTTTCCTATCTGAAAACGGACCGCCCCCTTTTGATGTATCGTTCACTGCGCGCCGATCCTTGGCACACGAGACACCGACGATTCCCGTGCGCCAGGGATCTTCAGGAGGGCCATCACGATGCCTGGCAGGTGGGCCGGGTGGAACTTTTTGCGCGGCGAACGCTGCACCAAACTGGATGGAATTGCTCAGTTGCTGGATGGAATGATTTGGTCAGCTGATTTCGTTCGAGCATCTATGCAACTGACCAATTTGGTTGCGGGGTTCAGGATGTATGATATGTTTGGAGGGTGCGGACGTGACCATGTGGGCGACTTTTGGTCTTGTGTGAGCGGCCAAGAAATGATGGACACGGTCCTTAAGGGGATAGTCTTGCCGCATGCAGGTTCGGACTTTTCAAGATTAGAGGCTTAACCCCCCGAGTAAGGGACCCTTCTCCCATGATGCCAAGGGAATCCCTTGAAAGAAGGTGACACTGCAATCCCTTCAGTGCCCAAACAAATTGAGGGTACCTAAGAACACGCACAAAGACAACTGCCTAGACAGTTTGCGTTGATTTGAGCTGCACCTTTTCATTTTTCATTGGCAAGGCTGAATAATTCTGTTACACCGAAGTCGCCCTCCCTTGTAGGCACTAAGACCCAGTACAGTATAGTTGTATCATTACGGGTGGGTGGTGGGGACTCTTCCTTTGGCGAGGCCCTGCCCTCCTCTTCATTTTACCCGAGTCTCGTCTCAGGTCTTCTTGGCCTACGCGGCCAGTGCCTTTCCCGAGATCGGGCCCAGTGCTGGGGAGGAGAGCACGACTTGGGAGGGGCAGGATGCCGAGTGGGTGAGACTTGAGGATTTGGTGAAAGGGAAGCGAGAGGAAACATGCTCAACTGCGCGACATTTCGGTCTTCGAAAGTCAAACGCTCGTTTGTTCCCGATTTCACAACTCTCTAGTTTAAATTCAAGGGGAACAGACGACTCTCAGAAGTGCTTGCGTTCTCACTTTGCCAGACACCAACCTGAAAGGACAAGACCCCAATGCGTTCCCATCAGAACCCTTCTGCAGGACTTTGGTTTGGCGCTGGAAGAGGCAGGGAGCAGCTTTAGGAGAATTTCCGCGGGGCTGCAAAGCCCTTGAAGGTCTTACATGGGAGCTGTTCAGGCCCTCAGCAGGAAGCAGAGTCCTGATTGAAGTGTTGAATCTTCGGCAGGGCAGATCTTGCTGCTGAAGCGGGTTATTGTAGGTTTCATCGCAGGGACTCACGATCTTTCTTTGCCGGATGCAGGAAATACACCACTAGGCGAAACTACTCCGCTCCGGAACCCAAATCTCCTCCACCTTTCAAGAGACCTTCAGCGATGGGTCCAGGATCAAGCCTCAGAACCGTGGGCAAATCAAATCAAATCGGCGCAAGCACTGGACTCGCACCACATCCACAGGCGCCAGCAAGTCTTGGCCATGCCCCGAACCCCCGACATACAGCGCTCAGCACCACCTAGGCGCACTGGGCCGATCACGGCGAGTCCCACCTAAGAGCCTTTCCTGGGCTGGGGCAATGGGTTTGGCTCAGGGTCAGCTGCGCCGTGCGGTGGAGGAGGCCGGGCGGGGATTCCAGAGAGGTGGCGCGGGATATGCGGTGAAAGGGTACATGGGTCTTGTGCTGAGAGTCCCATGCAGTCGATCTGTGCCGTATTGATCTTAGATTCCCCGGTTTGTGGTGTCCGCTTGGCCATGTCTTGGTATGTTGATCCCTCCCTCCCGCGGAATGTGTGTGTGGCTCCAGGCCGCGCGGTCGACCAAGGAGGCCCTGCAGCAAATGCGGGACCTCAAGAAGGCAGGGCGTAGCTTGTGCCCAGCAGGGTGGCATGACCCCGTAGCATGACCGTCCCCTATGGTTTCCTTCAAGGTTCAGGTTCATTCCCAAACCCGTCATTCCCTGAGCACCGACAAGTTCGCCGCGCGGGCGCGGGGAGGGACTTGAGCGGCGTTCTAAACCCCCTGCACTTGAAAGTAGTATTCGGGAGGAAATATCGTTTTGGGTTTGTCAATTATGTACTCGCGGAAGCTTCGCGGAAGGGCTAAGATTCAATTCCGAAAGCAGTAAATTGTAGTTTTCATTCACGTGCGGAAGCGAAAACGAACTTCAATCCCGTTTCTCAATCCGCGGAAGCGACGCGGAAGCGATTCCCTCTTCAATCCTCTTGCGG